TATTTTGTAATCTTAAATATGAAAGTATATTTGTGCTCTTACATAATTAAATTTTATCTTATTCTTTACTAATAATAAAATCATAAGATGGTGGTCATGAGAAAACTGTCAATTTGTTTGTCTATTGTCTATATCTGTGTACAGCTTTCATGTAAAAGTAACTGGAGGAAATATAATTATTTTCACAGAATATGTTGTTAAATGTTAACATATAGGCTAAAGAAATCTTAGAATAAAACCCCTTAATGTGGTGTGATCCGATACAATCGTGACGAAAACGCAAGTCATTCTTTTAAAATAAATGATAAGTGTATCCATAGGACAAAGCTAGTCATGATGACTGAGGTGTGACATCAGGAATTCCAAAGAGATAGGTATCATTAACTTCATCATCATATTTAATATGAATATTTTATTAGATTGAACTTTGTTGATGGCATCTGGTCGATTGAAGTTAATACTGTTATTTATATATAATGATAGTTTCCTTATATTATTGCGTTCTGTTTATTTTTTCTTCTGTGAGGGAATATTTTACATAATTTTATTAGCTTTAAAGAAACCCCGCTCCCAACACAAACTTGACAATATGAAAATAATTGACAACAAAAACCATCATTATTCAAAAATGTTGAAGGGTAAAAAAAATAATCACCCGCCCAGCTCCATGTCGATACGATGTCATCTACATATCGTGTTACATTTAAAACCGTCAACACATTCAGTTCGACAGAGTCGATCTCAATTCGCGGAATTAGGACAATATATCAAAGTAAATAGACCCGCATTCCGAAAGGGATCGGCTCGTTTGTTTTCAACTTTTAAAAATAAATGGACGCTTGTGAATCTCTGTATCGAATAAAACACAATTTTACTACAAATGGCGCCACGTTACATTTTTTAATAACTGTCTTAATTAGTACCCATTGTACACATATATAAGCACCAGACAAATAATTATGAATATAATGAATGATCTGTATAAGCTAAACAGTCATCAAGCAGCTTGCTTGTAAGCTGTTTCGGTTGTAGAGTGCTATTAGGCAGTGAAATAACAGCATGATAGGTATAACATTTTAGTTTTTTACAATGTCAAAGCAAGAATTTATAAAAAATATCTACAGAGGGAGCTCCCTTTCATTTAATTCCGCTTAAAAACTGCTTGCTTTGTAAGCTGTATTACAGTTGAAGGGTCAAAGAAGACTGTGAAATTATAGAATACGAGACATGATATCTTAGTCCTCTAGTCTTAGGAGAATAGCAACGCATGAGTGCTATCACGATAATAACGTGATGTGTGTAAATGAGGATCATGTACATAGGTGGCGGTTATAGCTTACCATAAAATAGGCTAACAGCTTGTTTCACGTTATTTTTTTTTATAAAAATGTTTAAGCACTTTTTATTACATAAACGCACCAAGTAATATGTCAATACTCGATATATGAACGTTTTCATTGTAATCCGATGACGCGGTGCACAATCAAACCCCAAAAAATTCTCCCTCATTAAATTTCGCGGCCTGATATTAATCGCTTAACCGCAATATGATGCTATTATTTTACATTTCCACGCTTTTGAGGGATAAAGCAGATAATGATATTTGTGGGCTTCCGCGTACTCCCATTTTGATGTGATCTTGTTACAATTTGCTATAATATTATATATTACCAATATGTTCACGATTTTTAGACTAGATTGGGTATTCAGAGATATAATATTATTAACAAACTTGTCCAAAACTTGGTGAACGCACATATAACTTGACTGCACACTTTTCGCTAGGTATATTTGAATCCAATTATAGCGCAATCACAAAGATTAATTTGGTTTCTTATCGGAATTTGACTGACTTTTCCATCTGGTGATGGAAAAGTCAGTAAAAAATATTTGATAGATTACTTATCTCTGTAATACTGCGTAATACGGTACATATATATATACCGCTACTCAACCACTTTCCATTAGGTGGGCCGTTAGTTCCTTTGCAACTCAAGTTATATAAAAAAGCTATGTTAGTAAATTGATATTATTTGTCTCAGTGGTCGGCGGTTTAGCACGGTTTAATTATGGTCGGGGGTTCGATTATCCGAATGATTCATAAATTCAAGCAATAGCATATAATCAAAGCAATAAGCATGATTATAGTGTATTGATCTGGGTGTTTTCTATGTATATTATGTATGTATTTACAAAAAAAGTAGTAAACAAAACAAGTATCAGTTGTTGAATACCTCTGCTTAGCTTGGAACTGGATGGCCCTGGGTGAATTATTCAGGATTATTATTATTATTAATCGATATCCGAATAATTTCACTTTTATCTCAATCCCTGGAAGAGGAATAGAAAAATAAATATTGTTGAATAGAGAGATATGAAAACTAGACAGATCATTAGTAAACAGTTCGGGGTCTTGACCACAATAAATGTGGTTAGTTCCGAGTCTGAAAATGACAGACCTAATAATAATGTTGCGACAATATTAATCTACTGAAGTTTTAGTTTATAACCGCATCTAGTTGTACGTCTCGTTTGAATCCTAATATAAACATATTTTATATGTAATTTAAACAGAATAAATAAATTTATTACAACAATCAACACGACACAACAATAACAACGCGCACAGTAATGAAATAAATAAATTTCCAGGATAACAAACATAAATATAATTTATAATGCATAAGATATCTACTACTTTGCAACATCACCTGAAATGGCGTCTTTGACATTCTCAAGATTATGCCCTGATCATATAATGATTTTCCACCACAATAATAATTTTCGGCGAAATAAAAATAATAATATGTAAAGTATTTTAGTCTGGCTCTTCTGACGATAAGTGGTAGCCGTCGACTGTAGACATAAACCTTCTTAAAAGACCGGCACCTTACCTGCAACTCCCTATTATTCCGGGTGACTGTAAATGACGATTATCAGTTAACATTAGTTGTACCTCAAGCAGGTCTGCCCCTATTATAATGTTATAAAAAAAATTAACAGCACCACAGATATCACGTCAACATGTGACTATCACTCATATATTGCCATTCGAAAGGATTAAGATGGCATTTTAATAGACATTTCATTTGTACCTATATATATAGTACTTAAGTCAAAATCATTTATTGATATAGAAATTTGATTGCAACAATGCATTAGTTAAAACATTTTTATACTATTTAGATATTAGCCAACATATAATGCTATGCTAGCTCTTCTACTGAAGCAGTTATCGACTAACTGCGTATAAGAGCTAGCACGAGACTCTATTAGTTAATTGTTACAGTCATAGAGGCGAACGATAGTATTTAGTACATACAGACTAAAACGATTATATAGTATCAATATTAAAGTAAGTTAAAGGTGAAATAAATATCGATACGGACTTCTACGCAAGGGACGCAAAATGTAAATTGCAATGTCCGCTCCCGGGTGCCTGGTATTCGTATTTTGTCAGCAAACACGTTTTTAATTAATACGGTTATTTATTTCCGCAACGCCGTGACGCCATAATACTATTCATCAGTTACGATTCACTTATTCGTGGCAATAAGGTTCAATATCGTCGATCAGGTCTACTATACACTGCTATCTAAGTAAACTTTGTTAAAAATCGTCGGCGTCCTCACCCGCTCCTAGTTCAACTTGACTGGTAAACTTACCGTCCACCATCTCATCCATTTTCCTGTAAATTTACAGGACACGGCACAATATCGTAGTCCTCCTGAATGGCAAGGCATGAGTGCTATCACAGACCTCACACAATAACATGACGTTCATAGTGCTGTTCATGTATATAGGCGAGGATTACCACATACGTTGGCCGCCAGCTTGTTTGCCAATCCAATTAGGTATATGAAAAAATGACTAAGTATCCTGAAAATCCTAAGGGAAGCCACTTAATCCCTATTATTGACAATTCTCTCATCCTGCTTACGGCGTATTATCTGAAAATGTTTCAGTTTTATTATATAAAGGTCTCTCTTTAGTATAGATAATAAATGATAGCAGCTGATGATGATTAATAATCTTTGGGGGAAATTAATTAATTATACACATAAATCAATTTAATAAATTTTATCAATAATTTCTTTGCAATTTAAATTAATATAATATTGTACATAAAACGGTTATTGTAATAGTAATTTGGGGATAAAATCATGACGATGTTAATATTAAGGTACGGTTTAATTATCATATCTATAGAGAAAATTACCTGTTAACCCGTCTATTCTCTTCCCTCAGGATTTTCAGGATACCCTTGTTAGTGAGTGGCTGTGTCGTAAAAGGATGTTTTATCAAAAATTTCAAGTTTATATTCCCAACAGTGTAACCTGTGCCTAGATCAAGTAGGCATTCGGGGATTTCTGTCACTTACGAATGTTATGAATATTGTACCTTGCGTACATATTTTTAGGTAGTACATATGTCCAATTAAATTTAAAATTTTATTCGCTATATCTAGCGCTATAAAAGAAACCTATATGTACCAGCGACCAACCAAATTTAACACGGATGCAATTATTGTAAAGTTTTTACATATACTCTTTATATCTCTATTATATTATCTTTGTTATTGAATATACTATTTTTTAAAACAAATTACATCTGAACACTAATTTAGTAACGATTTTGTCACAATGTAATGTCTTGTCTCAATTGTAACATACTTAAAATCTACAATTTTGCAATAATAAAATGATTTTTATGTAATTATTACATATTATAAGAGTTTTTAAAATGATTCGAATATATTTGAGTACAATACAATTCAAACCAATAATTCTGCAGCTACGATTACTTCATTAGTGTAGTTTTTAATACAAAAAAATTACATTAATTTTCAATAGAGAAATATATTTATACTAACGTTTCCCTTATACAACTTATAGGCAATAGAAAAAAATGATGTGTCCACTATATAATGTTAATTTAGTTAAACAATGTCGTAAAAGTAAATTAATCTTTTTCTAATAGTAAGACGTCTTTATTTACAGATCCACAATAAGGAATGGTGCAAAAAAGGTCGGAAAGGAGGGCACTGCAGCATGAAATGCGAAGGTACTCACTGCTAACACAATTAGCACCTCTGACTCCGTTCCCCACCTGTTCTCGCTAAATACGAGATTTGCGCTTTTCATTACTTTAATCTGTGTTCCTAAGTTATTTATCACTACTAAGTAAATTGCTACTTCAATTAATTACGGCAATCTCAAGATTTGCCTACCTATTCGTTTCGAAATGTTTCTTCTGCTTTCGGAACTTTAAAAATAAGGTATATATTTGTATATTCATAACAAATACACATTACTAATAAAACTCTATAATATATTTTTTTCCAACAAATAAGGAAGAACCTGATTAGAAAATGGTGGTGACTAAAAATACATTTATTGTATGCAGCAGAGTAACTTTTTTATAGCATTTATAGAAGCAACAGCATAGGAGCCTACATCTCACCTGATGGTAAGTGATTACCAACTGACATAAACAATGGAACACCTGAGGACTGTTAACGTAACTGTATATTAGAAATAGAAATATACTTACTTCCAATTCCTTGGTACACGTGTTTGTCACCTAATACCTTATAAACGGTTGGACCGATTTGAATGAAATTTCGTGTGCACGTTTCAATTGGAACCTGGATGATTTGAAAGTACTATTGGATGTAGTTTTCGGTAAGAACGACAACTGCCTTGGCCATTATTTATATAAAAATTTCGCGTCACAATGTTTGTCTGTATTAATTTCCAACACCATTTTTCATGTATTTAATTAAGTCCAAATTAAAATAAGATACTTTTTATTAACAACAACACTAGTACTACTGAGCCACCTCTACACTTGGCTCAGCTATAGACTCCTATAATAACCTACCATTACTAAAAAATACATTTTGCTTTCAGATCTTTTAAATGTAGATCTAGCAGATGATGTGAGATGTGCTAAACGCATCTACGATAGAGTGGGCTTCAAGGCTTGGCCAGTTTCCTTCTCCTATTGCAAAGAGAAGAGCCTACCGGATTTATCAAGATGCTAATATTAAATAAATCATTGCCTGCATTAGTAGTAGCTTTTATAACTATTTAGAATAGATAATTTTCTTCGTATAGGTTTTATTTTCGTAGTTTTATGTGCATTATGTCTTAAGAACCTGGCTTTATTAAATAAATATCTATGTGCATTTAGTCAACATATTTCATATCTTAATTGATGCTAATATTTAAATAAATTATAAATATAACATACATATACAGATGGATCTACTTATACACTTGAATATGGTATAATGATATGAAACGATAAATGTATTACACCACAATATTAATTGTATAGACACACTATGTTTGTGTAACAGTAGTAATTTTTTATATTCTTTAATGATTTTCACTGAGATAGTCTTTATAAAAGTCCGCATGGGTAACTTGGTCTTATCCATAATAATTCAGTCGCCAAACAGCTTTATGAGCTGTTTCAGTTGTATGATGAGTTTAGCCAGAGAATATACAGGATAAGCATGACATAGTGCTGTTTATGTATAAAGCAATAAAAATAATATGATGGTATGATTTTGCTCAAAATGTCTAAGATAATATGTAACTAACCCTATTGATGGATGTGAGAGTAAGTACGATTTCTATTTTGTTATTTTTTTCTCGACCTTTTGGCTAAGATAAAAGTTTAGTTAATCAGATTTAGCTTTAATACCATCAAACCCATTAAGAACTAACTAGAACTGTTTTCATGTCAGGTAGAACAACGTTTACCATTACATGCTACTACTGACAAAACTATCACTAACACAGTTTCCTGTATTTTCCAAAGGTCTCAGAGAAATCGAACAAAATACTACTTTTGAAGTGATCTACATATTCTGTATATCATCTTCTCTTGGATGATAAATAAATGAAACTATATTTTTTTATCTAAAATGTCCAATTAACTTCATCCAACACTTCCATAGTTTTACAATTTTATCGAGTCCTCTTAAGTATTCATTGTGTAATTTGAGTATACAAGAGAATTCTACTAATTAGTCGAACATCCTCTGTTACACTTATTTATAAAAGAAACGCTACAAAAACAATAATTAGCGAAATACTGACTGTAGACTATCGCAAACCTAAACCTCATTCTTTTTTGGTTAAATATATTTCAATCGTATCTGAAGTTAATTCCAGTTAAGTAACAATTTTTATACAAGTTGATTGGGAACATTTGTTCCTTTACTCTGTATAATATACCAGCCATAATACGTTTACACACTTACATACACTATAGTACGTTTAGTTAATTATACCTAAGAATAATTAATTCAAAGAATCTATTCCTATCGTATGATATATTCGATAAGTTGAAGAAATTTAGGTTACTTGGCAATATTTTAACTATCTTTTATGGATAATATAGAATATATCAAACGATAGGAATGGATTCTTTTAATTAATTATATTTTATTTGAACAAAGTTCAACAAGTAGTTCTACGCAACACATCTCGGCTTTCTGAACAAGAAAAATGTAACTTTTTATTTAAAAGTTACATTCAGGCTGGCAATACGATTAAACGATTAAAAAAATATTTACTTTGGAGTTTAAGAAATATTTGCAATCAATGTCAATATATCATACTTTTTCATTAAAATTATTTCTAGATTTAGTCACGTACACTGCCATAATTAAGCTAAAAGATTTTTTATGTTAGATTATATGTATTTTGATAGGAATTATTTGTAATATTTAAGCTTAGGTAATATAAGTATGTAGATTAAATAACTAAGAAAATAAACTACCTGTATTTTATTTGCTGTATTTTTAATATAGCTGATCCAAAGTGTAAGTTAATAAACATGCTGATATTACAAAATGTATAAACTAATTAAATAAAAGAGATCATTCACCTCTTTCCAGTTTAGTAAGCCATTTAACGCCTGAAAGACTAATTCTAGCGAGTTAACCTGGCTATACAAGTTGCTATATCTAAACGTGCAGGCGCTCCATACACAAACGCTCAATTCTCTGAAAGCTTGCACTTTAATATAATAAAAGCAAAAAAGCATGATATAATAATATTACAAATTCCTGTTGCATTCAATATAAAACATATCTATTATTTAATATCATGTATGGATAAAAATGTAATAATACCTAATTTCACAAATACTATACCCCTAATTTACTTACAGTTTATTTCTTAAGACTTGCATGTATAATATTATTCAATTTTGATACAACATTTTGCTCTTGTCTTTTTCTTTAAATTGGAAAGTAAGAAATACTGAAGATAGCTTATATGGGTGATTGAAGCTTATAAGATAGGCATGATAAAATAATGTATTTAGATTTAGATATTACTTTAATAAACTAATAAATACTCATAGATATATATAGTAGATTTTTTATACACAAATTATCAAAGTTATTGTATTTTTAACAGTTCTTGTAATTCTCTCGATTTGTAATCATTTATAACTTCATTAGAGGTTTACCGTTTTTATGAACATGAATGAGTATTTAAGGTAATTTTAATTACTTTTTAATTGTCATCAAAATATTTCAAAAGTGTTCTACGTACCAAATTTGAGAGCATACCTAACAAACAATATTCCACGTTATACGAGGAGAGTATAGAATATCTACTAGTGTGGAAATTAATTTTTAAATCGAAATGCTGTAGACTGGAAAACTTAAATCCGTCGTCGAAAATAACCACAGATTTCAGTGCGAACTAAAACTACGTCTTACCTCGTCTCGTTACAAATTTCAAAGCCCCGGATATTGTATACAGAACGTATGTTTATTTTCAGTTTTATTAGGGTTCTTTTTCAGCTGCGAAACTAAAATACCTTTTCTGTATTAGTAGATAGTTATTTCAAAAAGAGTTAATGTTAAATATGAAGTATTTTAGTTGATCTATTTGTGTAGAATATAACAAAAGATCTACAAGAATTATATTGATATATATTCTTTTAAATAGAAAAAAACAAAAAGTAAAAATCTATACCTAATTACCGAATTACAGAAACAAATATATTTATATTTGCAATTGACTAAATTTTGATATGATCACAGAATTTTATAGCCATATAAATGAAGGTTTAAAAGAAATTAATAAGTAATATTATCTATCTAACAATCAATACCTAAAATGAACTTAAAAAAAATAATATCATGAATTAATACAAATATTCTGAACAGACAGCTCAAATTTTATGACTTAATAAATACTACATGTATAAAACATATCAACCAAATACAAAACAGAATATATATACAGTATAAAATTAAATTGAATTGAACCCACAACCAAATCACACTATAAATCGCTCACAAGTGCCGCCGAACTCATGCTACTGCTAAATAATAATATCACAGATAACAGAATATGCGTAATGTATATATTAATATTATGTTATCTGTGGTATATACGAAACAATTTTCTCCTTTAGTCTTACATTCTTTCATGATGGTATCACTGCATTCTCTTCATAATCTTCATTGATAGAGCTCGTCGATATTTGTTTCCATTTGGTACAATTTTTGTCTATATAAGAACATTATAAACTGGACTGCTGTTTAGTAGTAATATGAAATAATACAGAATAAATTAATGAAACAACGATATTATATTATAAATATCCAGTTTTGAGGGGAAAATACAATCGATGTCAATGTATGTCGATGTGACCTTACCAAGCCGGATTTGGACTATGTACAGTCATCTGCTAAAATTATGAACGTATATCGACTTCATTATAAGAAATTATATATTTTTTGTATTTATATATACATAAAATTTGTAATATTTGTATTTATATATATATAACCCTACCTATTGTAGATATTATAATCAATTACAGTCACCTACTTTACATATTTATAGGTAATTATGTTTATAGACAATGCATAAACTTTATTTACTTACTTTGACGGCCTCAATGTCGCGGGTTCGATTCCTCGCACGGCACAAACTTTTCTATTCGTGAGTATGATTGTTTGTATTGGTCTGGGCGTTTTCTATATATGTATTTACGAAAAAAAATCTATGTATTTGTATCAGTTATCTAATATTATGTTATCTATGCTAGTACATAACACAAGCTTTAGCTAGCTTAACTTGGGTCTAGATGACGCTGTGTGAATTGTCCTGAAATTATTATTATTACTTCTTAATATTTCATCTTTTGTCGAACTATTGAGGTATTTCGATATTAATTTATGTAACTATGTAGTACCAAATATGTATTAAAACTTGGAATTGCTCAAGTGTCCAAAATCTCACCGATTCCAACCCTAGTGACGCTTTTTAACAAGATTTTTTAAGGTCTCATACGCTTTTTTTATACATATATGGAGTGTTCTTAATATTATAATAAGCATTTCAGTCTATTTTAAAATTTTGCAATATATGACCTACCTACCTACAGGAAATGACTGCATCGCATTGTATTTTGTTTAATGAATCAAACCTATTTAGTATAATGGTTTCGTTTCAAGAAACATCCGCTTTTATGTTACAAATTGAATATAAATATTATTATCTTCCCACACAGGCGTGACCTTTAACATAGATTTATTAACACACAATATTCATTCACTGTACCGTAGGAAAACGTCGTCAACATCCAATCGGAAACGTCAATTTTAAATAGGCGATTACGATAAGCACCAAAAACTGTTTAAACTAAAATTATCTCTATGTCTCTGTGATAAGATACACAAAGAAATAATGTTTCTCTTTCTCTATATTTGTAAATAATAACCAGTGTTCATAGGCACCTTCAAATTTGGTATTTGGTCGACGATTCTCAACTTATTGCACGAAATAAGGGGTCAAAAATAATTGGTGGTTTGTCCGAGAATAAAAACGAAACAATGCTGGCGTAATGTCATCGGGGCAGGATTCCCACGTTTGTCGCCAGGTCGATGACATGTGCTGATCGATTGGAAGTCTTTTTTGCCATCGATTCCTGACATACCATCTCTCGGTGAGATGCTGCTGCGCTAACAAGATTAATTTTGTTTGAAGGTTTCATACCTTCAAAGATTCAAGCCTCATATGGGCAAAATAATCCCTGAGCAGATAAGTGCCAATAATGAAACATGTTAGAAAATAAAAATATTCTCAGGATTGTAATCCC